TACTGTACTGTTCCAGTTACTGTAAATTGATACATTTTCTATGCTGGTTACCATTCTGTGATAGGGTTCCCATTCTCTTTATTACACTCTGATAAGATCCTCCTCTTTTATTGTGCAGTGATAGGGGCTATTAGTTCAGCCGGCTGCACACTGCAGCGTTTGGACAGGAGTTTGCCCCAATTAGGTTGACCTGTACTTATGAAGAGGACATGCAGCAAAAACTCCACATTGCGGTTTTCTCTTGACACAGAGTTAAAATTTTGAGTGGGATCACAATGTCTCTCCTTAATTAGCTGAAGAAATGTGGACAAATCTAAAGAGCGAGTCAAGGTCTCAAGAGAGGCGCCAAAAAAATGCAACAAAATACCAGATTGCTGCATTAGCATTTGTAACAAATGACCTCAAACCTCATTTATCTTCTTCTTGTTCCAGCTTGGGTAACATTAATATTTCATGTGAAAATTTACTTTTTTTAAAAAAAAGAAAAAAAAGAAGAAGTTTCTGACCTTTAACTTGCTATTATTTGACTTTTACTATATCGCTGCTCATTAGTATTGTATCACTGTGTATAATTAAAGCGGGCTGACAATTATTTTTTAAGCCCGACTGTTCCTATATAAAGAGCTTTGTTCCTTCTCTTTGTGTTGCAGAGTTTTGCAGAGAACACCATGAATGAGCTGCTGGGCTGGTACGGTTATGACAAGGTGGAGCTGAGAGACTCTGACAGCCTGGAAATAGGGGAGACACCACAGCACATCTCTGTCCTCAAAGGTATACAGCTTTAGTGGAAAATATGATCAGATCATGTTTCATGATCTGATCATACAGGCATGCTGTTTGTGTGTTAACAAGCAAGCCTTATTATGGAGCCATCAGCAGATTTCTGTACTTACCTTTGTCCTTACTGGATTGATGATGCGTCGCATCGCCTTGAGGCAAGTGCTGTGATTTTGGTGCCATATAAATAAAACTGAATTGAATTGAACTGAAATCTAGTCAATATAAAAAATATAGCCTGAATATAAATGATGGGTGTAATCTCTGGTTTCTGTGGTCCCTTTCTAAATACCTAACTTTACTTTATTTCCTCATTTTCTGGAGAGGTCCAGTTCAGTGAGCAAACAGCTGGTGAGCAAATCACCTTTCACTCAAAGTGTCTTTGCCCCCAATTCAATTCAATTCAATTCAATTCAATTCAATTCAATTCAATTCAATTCAATTCAATTCAATTCAATTCAATTTAATTTAATTTAATTTAATTTAATTCAATTCAATTCAATTCAATTTAATTCAATTCAGTGCCAAATTACAACAACAGTCGCCTCAAGGTGTTTTATATTTTAAGGTAGAGACTCTACAGTAATACAGAGAAAACCCCCAACAATCCGCTCACTCTCTATGAGCAAGCATATGGCAACAGTGGGGAGGAAAAACTCCCTTTCTATAGGAAGACACCTCCAGCAGAACCAGGCTCAGGGAGGCGTGGCCATCTGCCACAACCAATCAGGGGTGAGGGGAGGGAGACAGGATAAAAGACTCTTCCCTGTGGAAGAGAGCCAGAGATTAATAATAAGTAATGATTCGAATTCTGTATAAGTGAGTGAAATAGTTGAGTGAAGAAGAAACACACAGTGCATCATGGGAAGTCTCCATTAACCTAGGGCTATAGCAGCATAACTAAAAGACGATTCACCGTGATCTGATCCAGCATTAATTATATGCTTTATAAAAAGGAAAGTTTTAAGCCTATATAGAGTTTTACAAGGCTGTAAACAGGTTTATTTTAGCTTTCAAACCATACTTTTAAGGATTTCATCCTATTGGAACTGAGTCGCCTTTGGAGCCAGCCTCAAGTGGCCACTAGAGGAACTGCAGTTTTTGGCACTTCCACTTTGGCTGCTTTTTTTATGGGTTGTCATTTACAAGATGTTTAAACTCTTTTAATGTCTTCTGAATATCTACTTGCCAAATCTTTTGTGCAGCATAATCTTTTAATCTGCTACATGTGCTCAGAGCTGAATAACTTAGTAAACTTTTAACTGCTGTTTGGTGCTGTGCAGGTTGTGCACTTTAGGTTTAATGCAGCTTGTTCAACCTGCTGCAGCCTGAATAAGAGAAATCACACTAAAACAAACATTAAAGTTGTACGTTTACAACCAAAACAATGACCTGAA